GTTGCCATTGCACTTAGCACAATGTACCATGATTGTTCATAGACCTTTCTCCACCTATGCTGTGAACACCTTGCAAGCAGCGACCCTGTTTTAGTCTTTCTTGTCCCCTCAGCACTATGGTAGTGCCTAGAATGTAGGATATACTGTTTACAATAATTATAAAACAAGAATGCTACCATAGTTGGTACACAACAGAAATTTTATTTTATTGCTTTATTTCCCAAATGATAAAGTTTAAATTTTTTTGGCATGTTACAGAACCAAACAATAATATTGTCCTCAATGAAATGCATAAAAGACCGTTTAACCATAATCCATTTGGTACCTTCTTTGCGTTGTGGTTACTGAATAAAGCATTATAGTCTTTGGTATTACTTCAGTTATTCACGTTTACCTCAGCATCCATTTGGACAACTTATGAACCAGTCAGTAAAGCTATCCATTGGTATTTTTACGTAAGCACAATTGCCTAAGCGTAAACTAATAAGGGATGACATGACTGGAGTTTAAGGGAGGGAATAGGAAAGGCATACTGCAGTTCTTCCTTATCATCAGTTAGATTTTGATGTCTCCCTGCCCCTTCCGCTATCACCTCCACTTTGAGCAGCTGGGCAAAACTGACATTATTAGTTAATAGTGACCACCACCATTTTCCCCCATAGACTCCTTAGAAAACCTTGGTGATAATCTTTTAGAGTTGCTATTGCTTTTTTAAACTAAAAAAATAATAGTTTAAAAATAATTTCAAATTTACAAAATAGTTACAGAAATGGCACAGAGTTCCTCTGTATGTCCTTCACCCAGATTTCAGATTTTCCAACTGTTAACCTTTAATTAATGTGGTAAAAAATCTTATTCTCCCTTCCTACCACCCCTCACACACATACTCAAGTTTTTCTTTGTTGTTTTTTTGAATCGTTTGGCAAGAAGGCAAACATGGTATATCCTTATGCCTTAATACTACAGCGTGTATTTTTTTTTAGAAAAGGAAATTCTCGTGTGTAACCATAGTATGTATAATCATCAGAAATCAGGATTTTGTAGACAATATCTGGTTGATCCAATATCTAATCTACAGACCCTACTTAGGTTTCACCTGTTGTTCTAATAACATCCAGGTTCTAATTTGACATCACATGTTGCGTATTTCCTTGCCCTTTATGACACTGATTTTTTTAAAAACTACAGGCCATTTCCTTAATAGGAAAGTTTTCAGTCGGCGATAATCGTGTCTCAGATAAACCTCATTGGCTATGATACCGCCACTGCACAAAGCTCAGTTCTTTAGAATGCTTGGCAATTTGTGTTTGTGACCCTTTTGGTTTATTCATTTTTGAGGGGAGTATCACAGAAGTGTTCTCACTGCATCATAGTAGGAGTTGTGCATTGTCAGTTTGTCTCATCATCTGGCCAAGATGGTGTCTGCATTCATTTGTTTTATTATGTACACATTGTCTGCATTTGGCCAGTGGGGGCCCCTTTATACTGGTTCCTGTGTCCGTTTAAGATATCCTTATCATTAAACTTTGAGAACTTTACTTTCTGATACAAAAGATGCTCCAGGCCCATTCTGTATTTTTCCTATTCCATCCCTGGAGTCTGTTTTCTCTAAGACACCATGGTTTCTTTCAGTGGGGAATGCTATTTAGAAACCAAGATCTGGGTCTTAGGTGATTTGCTTTTTGTTTTTGGTTATTTTTGGACAGGTAGTGTTACTGTGATATGAAAACTACTAAACAAGTTCTGATTTAATAACTACTTAGAAATCAAAACGGGTTTTGGCAGCTTTGAGGTGCTTTCTTTTGCATTCGTACCTTGGTCTGTTGGCGTAGCTCACTTATCCATTGCAGGTGTCCCTTTACAAGTCTTTCTAGCCTTTGAGTTCATGACAGCCCATCGACAGTTCACCCTATTCCTGTGCAAGGTGAATGTTGCACTCATGAGTGGTAGTCTGGATCCTTGACTTCTCTGAACCCTGTTTTCCCTGAAACATACCTCAGGCAACCACCAGGCCCCGTTAAGTAAAGCTGTTTTCTCCCACCTGGGTACAGCTTCCACCAGCTCCCTAAATTACATGGTTTTCCTGTTTCCACCTGGAGAGTGTTTTTGCAGTAAATTTATTTTATATTTTTATTTTTTAGTTTTTGTGGGTACATAGTAGGTATCTATGGGGTACTCAAGATATTTTGATACAGGCATACAGTGCTTAATAGTCAGATCAGGGTATGTAGTAGATTTACTTGTAGGCATTGGTGTTGGTGTGGTGGCTTCCTCAAGTAGGTAAACAGCCTTTGTTATTTATATTCTGAAAGGAATTTCAGCAACTCTGAAAAAGCTCTAAAACCTGGGTGGCTGCCACAGCACTGCTGGAGAGTAGTAGGAAAGAAAAGCTGAATCACAGGGAATTGGAGATAAATTCTGACTGCAGCTTAAATGAATATTGTATGGGTTAGGTTTTGCTATATTGCCATATTTATCCATCAGCAAAAACAATAGAGCTTTATGTTTGTCCAGTGACTTAGGAAATTGTGGCAATTATATTATACTCCGCTGATTAAATTGAGGATGTTATGAACTTGGATATAAACTATTAAAGTGAGAGCAAACCATTTTCAGTGTTCTATAAAACAGTAATACTGATCTGCTTAGGTAAATTTTTTTTTCCTAAGAGCTTCTGATAAAAAAATTGTAGCAAAGGCAAAGAGTAGCAATGAAATGATAAGAGAGCGGATACTGGGTTTTAAATGTGTTTCCTCTTTCAGTTTACTTTTTAAAAAGGGGTTTATTTTTCAATAAAAGAGGTTTGCAGTGGGGGAAAGGGACGAAAACAATTTTATTTCCAGTTTCTTTACCAAGTTAACTGTGATTAACATTTTGGTGTATAGATGACAGTTTTTTTCTTTGGATACACCTGGAAATGTGTATGCTTTTAAATGTTTTTTTTTCCCGTAAATGTGATTTTACTACGTATGCTCCCGTTTATTTTTTAGTTCTATTTTTATTTGACATTTATTGAGCTTTTATTATTATGTGCTACTTTAAGGGATACATACATCTTTGAATAAAAGACAAAGTTGGAAAAAAAAAAAAAGATAAAGTTGGCCTTAAGTACGAGCCTGAAGAAGGGGTTAGAGATAGGCGGTATGTTTGCTTTTGTTTGTTTGTTCAGTGATTTAAAAAATTACTAAACCACCATGGAAATTTGTCCATGTTGTATATACACATAAGCCATATTTCTTGTAACCGCATAGTATCATGTTGTATATATGGATCATTTAATTAATTCCCTCTTGATGGACATTAGGTTTGTTCTAGTTTTTGATATTGATAACACTAATGAAGATTTTAATTCACTTGTCACCTAGACAATTCCTTAGGGTTTGTGTATATATATTTTTTTCTTTTCTTTTTTTTGAGACAGGATCTCTGTTGCCCAGGCTGGAGTGCAGTGGCATGATCTTGGCTCACTGCTCTTTGCCCCCACCCCCCACAGCTGAGATTACAGGCGTTCGCCACCACGCTCAGCTAATTTTTACTATTTTTAGTAGAGACGGGGTTTCACCATGTTGGCCAGGCTGGTCTCAAACTCCTTATCTTAGGTGATCCACCTGCCTCAGCCTCCAAAAGTACTGGGATTACAGGTGTGAGTCACTGCATCCAGGCATCCTTAGGATATATTTTTAGAACTGGAATTGTTGAATCAATGAGTACTATTAAAAAAAAGAAAATATATATATATATATATATATATATATATAACTTTATAGTTTATAAAATTATAAACTATAATTTTATAGTTTATATAATATAGGTATATAGGTATATAATTTTAATATATACCTGTCTAATATATAGGTATATAACTTTATAGTTTAACATGGAATTAATTATTTTATTCAATTTCTGTCATTTCCAGAAAGATTTTGATGTTAAACTTTTAGTTCTGAAGTATTATACCAAGCATCCTGCAAAGATAAAATGTAATGTGATGGCTGCTCATATACTCACCAACCAGATTTAAGTTCTTCAATGTTCTGTCATGTTTGCTTCATAGCCATCTGTTTTTTTTTTTGTTTGTTTTCTTGAGATGGAGTCTCACTCTTTCACCCAGGCTAGAGTGCAGTGGCACAATCTTGGGTCACTGTAACCTCTGCCTCAGGGTTCAGGCTATTCTCCTGCCTCAACCTCTGGAGTAGCTTGGTTTACAGACATGTACCACCATGCTCGGCTAATTTTTGTATTTTTAGTAGAGATGGGGTTTCACCATGTTGGCCAGGCTGGTCTCGAACTCATTTCTTTTGCAACATTCACATGCCTCTATAAACAATATTTTTGTGTTTTAAAATTTACATTGATGGCAACTACTACACCTGACCTTTTACAACTTGCTTTTACTTTGCATCGTTTTGGAGTTTATGCAAGGTGTTACATAGATTTAGTCAAAAGTTGTAGTGTTTCTGACCAGGCACAGTGGCTCACACCTGTAATCCCAGCACTTTGGGAGGCTGAGGCAGGCAGATCACAAGGTCAGGAGATCGAGACCATCCTGGCTAACACGGTGAAACCCCGTCTCTACTAAAAATATTAAGAATTAGCTGGGCGTGGTGGCGTGTGCCTGTAGTCCCAGCTACTGGGGAGGCTGAGGCAGGAGAATCACTTGAACCCAGGAAGCAGAGGTTGCAGCGAGCTGAGATTGCACCACTGCACTCCAGCCTGGGCAACAGAGTGAGACTCCTTCTCAAAAAAAAAAAAAAAAAAGTTGTAGTGTTTCTATAGAATATGGATCAGTAGTGAACTTGCTGCTTTAAATTTTTTTTGATGTTATAAATTGTACATTTAAAAGTGAGATTTTACAAATTAAAGTGCATTAACTGTTGCTTAACTATGGATTGCTTTTACGAGTATGGCTGTATAGTTTGCATAAAGTGAGTTACTCAAGACTTCACAGTAACATTAACATCAATAATGCCTACCGTGTGTCAGTTTGTTTTTTTTTTTTTAAGGAAAATTTGTATTGTTTTAATTATTTTTATGTACAGAAAACTCAACAGTGTACATTTAACCCAGTTTCGTGGCAAGTTCTTTAGCCTTTGCCTTTTCAAGCGTGGTAATGCGAGCCACAGACTTGGGACCCAGGACATTGCCTCCCCAGTGACAGTGGATCTCATCATATCTGTCATGGTAATTGGTGCGGATAGCTTCCACCAGCTTAGCCAAAACACCTTTGTCTTCCGAGTTAACCTGTGTGAAGGGGGCAGTGGTGCAGGTCTTCCTGTGGACTAGACGTCCCAGTCTTACCTTCCCCTTGATAATGCAGTAAGGGACTCCCATTTTATGACACAGAGCTGGCAAGAAGACAGCCAGCTCAATGGGATCCACGTTGTGTGCATTCACCACCAGCTGAGCTTTCTTGTTCTCCACCAAGGTGGTGACGGTGTTAACTCCTGCTTGAAAGACAGGTGGTCTCTTAGTGAGGACGTCCCCTTTGCCAGCCACTTTTTTCTTGGCCTGGGCCAACAGCTTCTGCTTTTTCTCTTGCTTTGTCTCTGGTCTATACTTGTGGGCCACCTTAAGCAGCTGAGTAGCTGTTTGGCGGTCCAGAGCCTGGGTGAATTGGTTAATTGCAGGAGGCACTTTCAACCGCTTATGGAGAATGGCTCTCTGCCGCTGCAACCTGATATAGTGGGGCCACCATTTCACAAAGTGGGTAAGATCTCTTTTGGGCTGGTTGTCCTGTCCAGTGCCAGAATTCTTAGGCCTTTTCTCAAACAGGGGATTCACCACTTTCTTAGCCTCCTGCTTCTTCACTACAGCAGGGGCCAGAGCCACCTTATTCCCCTTGGCCTTCTTTCCTTTCAGCATCTTGGGCGGTGGGAAGAGAGAGACCAGTTTGGTTTTTTTTAACGAGGAACGTAAATGTGGAACAATAGTTTCTGTTCTAAGCTTTTCTTATGTTGTATAGATATCATTTAGTCCCCACAAGATAAAGAAGCCGAGGAACTGGGAGGTTAAGTAACTTGGCTAAGATCACTCTACTAGTGAATGACAGTGCTGAGATTGAACCCTGGCATTCAGCCCTGCATATACTTTTCCTTATGTATACATGGTTGTTGCTTCTTGTCATGAATGAACAAATACAGAAACAGCCTAGTTAATTCAGAACAATCACACTAAACCATGTGAGTTGGTGGTTGGATGTCAGAATTTAAGTAATTTCTACTTAGATTGAGTATCAGGGTTATTTGTCCCTGTAGAGGCAGATTCTAGCTTACCATTCATGTTTTTGCTGTTTTTAAGCAACGATTATAAGTCTAGTTGATTGCTAAAGCTTGTATACAGGTCCTGCCTCCCCTAGAGCTTTTGGGGTCCTCAAGGGGCAGCAGTGTGTTAAGCTCACCTTTGCATTCCTGCTTCAGTGTTATATTGAGCTATTTGATCTCAGAGTCCGTGTGCTAGCAGCGCAGAGAAACCTGACTACCATTTGTAATGCTGTTTTCATGTGGGGGGACTGTTACATTGCTGTAGCTTGTCGTATCAGGAGCCCACCTTCCCCTACTTACTAGATAAGCAACTCCCTTTCTCTTACCACTGGGGCAATAGAAAGACCAACTTCAGTGCTTTTGCCCGAGGCCCAAGGTAGAGGATCCTGAGAGACCCAACCATGAGGGCAAGGCTGGGGTGGTTCTGTGTAGACTTCCCACTAGCTGAGCCCTAAGCTCTTTCTTAGACCTCATTACTTTCTCATGATATTTTCAGGGGTTTCCCTCTTAACCTCAGAGGTTAGCCTACCTGCTGCTTCTCCCTGCCACTGCTTCCTGCATCTTCCCTGGGATAAGCACATTTATCTCCCTCTCTTTCTCTCCCTCTCCACTGTGTGGATCACATGGCAGATGGATGTGCAGTGCAGATTACTGTGCCTTACCTTACACTACTGAATCAGAGTCTCAGGGTGATTATCCAGTGATGTGTATGTTATATGTTTCTTACTTTTTATTGTGACAAGTTACAAACATGGCCAAACAGAGACAATGATACCATTCACCCTCAAGTACTGATTGCCCAGCTGTATAACCATCATCAGTTCATGAGCCATTCTTTCTCCTTCTGTGGGCCCACTCCCTGACACCCCTGATTATTTGGAAACAAATGAGATAACCTTTTTTTTTTCTTCCTGTAAATAAACAGCTATGTGTATCTTTCTCCCAACTTTTTGGGACAAGTTTAGAAAACGTAATAGTGAATACCTATATACCCTTTACCTAAATTCTCCAATTTTTCCTGTTTTTCTCTCTCTGAATCTTACATATATTTTTGTGTTGCTAAACCATTTGAAAGTAAGTTGGGACATTATGATAGTTCATTTCTAAGTATTTCAGCTGGTTTCTTTATGAGCTAGGGATATTCTCCTGTATAATGACAATACAGTCATCAGGTTTTGGAAAGTTTCCTAAGTGTCCAAATAGTGTTCTTTATAACTTCTTTTTTAAAAGGATCACATACTACATTTCATCTAGAATAATTCCCTAGTCTTTCTTTAAAAACAAAAAACTTTCATGACAATGATACTTTTTACGAGTCCATGCCATTTGTTTAGCATAATATCCCTGAATTTGGATTTGTGTTATTGTTTTATCATGATTAGATTCAAATGATACATATTTTTGTAGAAATACTCTGTAGGTGATATCGTCCATTTACACGTTCTGGTTTGTTCATTATCAGTGATGTTAAGCTGGTTATCTGGCTAAGGTAGTTTTGCCAAAGCTTCCCGCTATAAAGGCACCTTTGCCCCTTTGTAACTAATCATTCATTGATTATCCTACTGGATTCAATTATTACATCATGGTTTGTCTAAAGTTAAGATTCATCTGTGCTTCAGTAGAACACCCAGTTTTAGTTTCTTGGGCATTTGATTGGAAGAGGTGTGTGCAGAAATAAGGAAGCCAGAGCCATGGGGGGAGAGTAGCTGCATGTGTTTGAGGTGGGAGTGGAGGTGATCGTACTGCAGGTTGCGTAGCCCTGTAGTGGGACTGCAAGGGACTGCAGTCGGGGGGCTTTTAAAAGTTCCCTGGCATCATGGCTCTGACAGATTGGTGACTTCTTGTGGCTGCTTGGCTAGAGCTCTAATGTGCAGTCAGCCTTTAAAGGTACAAGATGTGCATCTGCTCATATACATTAGACTGCTCCTGGCTGTGTAAACTGTCATCATAAACTTCAGCGAGGGGCGTTTTCACTTGGAATCATGGTCAGATCTACTCTGACAAAGGTTTCTCTTTTCCAGTGGGTGAATTTGTAAGTGATGTTCTGCTAGTTCCAGAAAAGTGCCAGTTTTCCCACAAAGAGCGGATGGAGGTGTGCGAGAATCACCAGCACTGGCACACGGTAGTCAAAGAGGTAAGAGAACTCAGGGGGAAAAGTCAGCTGCTGTTGTGTCTATTAGGAGAGAAGGTAGCACTTTTCTGCAATCTCACCATGCTTTTAAGTTAATTTTGTTTCCCCCTTATCTCCTCAAGATTTACAATTCTATCTTGTAAGTTAGAAATATTTGGGAGAGGAGTAGGTATTTGTATAGGAGAGTTCAGCATTGACAGACCAGCTCCTGAAGTTGAGGATATTAAGGAGGTGGCTGAGTGAGAATACTGTATGCTGCTGGTGAGGCTCCCAGGAAACCATCCCAACCCTAAGGCCTGCATGGAAATCGCCAAATATAGAAAATACGGGTCTGGATGTGTGCACAGGCAGGGTTGCATGCCATCTCACTTTTCTGGTGGTGAGAAATGCCCTTTCTTGTTAATTAGGTTGGCTCTTTGGTCAGTAATCTTCCTTTGGTCAAATACTGAAGTGGTGCTCACACCAGTGACGAAAATAAATTAACATTGATCACCTTCAACTGGCATTGGTCATTATTAGAAAAAATGATCTTTTCCTTTCTTTTTTCCATATTTGGGATTTTAGTATTTTTGGACCAGATCTTGTTTCACCATTGTAAATTAAAATTTATAAATCTTAGAATAATATTATAATTTTTTGACAGAAAATGTATGTGTTCATAAGAGAAAGCATTGCTAAGTGATTTGATAGGGTTTCTTTTGGATGAGGCTAGAGATCAGGGTGTATTTGTTCACATTTTCTCTGGAGTATGTTCTGATGTGGTCTTTGGGTTTCTTTTAGGCATGTCTGACTCAGGGAATGACTTTATATAGCTACGGCATGCTGCTCCCATGTGGGGTAGACCAGTTCCATGGTACTGAATATGTGTGCTGCCCTCAGACAAAGATTACTGGATCCGTGTCAAAAGAAGAGGAGGAGGAGGAAGAGGAGGAGGAGGAGGAGGAGGAAGAGGAAGAGGAAGAGGAAGAGGAAGACTATGATGTTTATAAAAGGTAACTTTTCAACTTTGAGCCATGACGCCGCTTTGCCTTTTTGTTAGCCCTTCTGTAAAGATGGCTGCTGGCTGCTAGTCCCTCACTTCTGGATAAGCTGGGCATTCCCTTGTTCTGCTACAGTTGATCAAGCTTGCATTTCATTCTAGCCACTGCTCATCACAGGAGTATCTGTGACTTCTGTGTTTACGTCATTCTGGGCTGCATTGTTTTCTGCAGGTTACTATGATTTTTCTTTTAAGCGTCCATACCATTTGTTTAACATAATATCCCTGAATTTGGATTTGTCTCACTGTTTTATTGTGATCAGATTCAGATGTTCACAAATACTTCCCTTTTGCTGATGTAGCTGGGCTCAGGGCCTTAGTCGTACAGTGAAATGTGTGTTGAGCTTATTTCCTGCCTCTGTTTTTGTGTTTCAGAATAGGGAAGGGACCCATTGTTGTGCTTTGTGCATAGGAGTTATTAACCTTCCTTTTTTCTATTTTGGCCTTCAGTGAATTTCCTACTGAAGCAGATCTAGAAGACTTCACAGAAGCAGCTGTGGATGAGGATGATGAGGATGAGGAAGAAGGGGAGGAAGTGGTGGAAGACCGAGATTACTACTATGACACCTTTAAAGGGGATGACTACAATGAGGAGAACCCTACTGAGCCCAGCAGCGATGGCACCATGTCAGACAAGGAAATTACTCACGACGTCAAAGGTAACCCCATATAGAGCTGTGGCTTTGAAATCCACGTGGTAATTATTCACTTAGACTTTTGCATTGCATCAGTTACAGGTAAGTCAGTCACAGAAGGAAAGGTGTGGTATCTCTGCACTGAAGATGAGTTCAGTTCTCCAGTGCAATGATGGTGCCATCTTAGCAAAGTAGGCAGGCAGGCACATTCAGGGAGAGCTGTAGGATTGAATTAGAGAATAGAGTCTGGAGAGTAATAGAGACAATGTAGTCCACCCTTCAGTAGGATTCTTCCATGTTCAGCCTAAAACGTTCCCTCCCCAAGGGGAGCTCCCCTCTTTGATACTTCTCAAGTCCTGGCCTTCTAGAATAGAAATGACTTTCTCAGTTTTTCTTTTCCTGCGTGCGTTCCAGTCTGTTCTAAATAGGCTGCCCTATTTGCCCAGATGTTTGTAGTTGGGAGGGTGAAATTTATTGACCTGCTGGTAACAGATTGGGACCTGAAGTTTTTTTCATCTTGCCAATTGAAACAAGAAAAGGTTGCAGTAGTTCCAGAGCCTTTTACATGCAGCCTCCTGCGGATTGTATATTTGAAACCAGTTAAGATCTGAAGAATTATTTGGGACCCGAGTGGCAGGAAATTACTTAATCAGTTGAGAAGTTTACAATTTGCCTTAGAGAACATAAAAATGGGAAACACTTGTCCGTTCTAGGTGCTTTATTCTTTACTATGGGTGTCACCACTTTAAAAAGTCTTTCCGCTCACATTGTCCCTGTTGGTCCTTGAAACTACCAGA